AATTATTTTTAAACTACTACTCCGTATATATTTCTTTCTCCATCCCATAAAACTCTTCTTCTCCCTTTTTTCATCCGTTCCAAAACACACTTCTCTTTTTCTATCAAAAAAATCACTTTTACCCCTATTAATTATTAACCTACCTATCACATCATATTTTTTCTCTATTAATCTATCCATCACATCTTATTTTATCCATCACATCAAAGAATATTTTTGGAAAGTCAACACCAAAATATATTTCCCGTAAATCCTTTAAAAGTCAAAATGAAAATTTTTTTAAGGGACGGAGGGAATATAATTTTTACTTAATTAAGACTCAAAGTTCATCAGGTTTGATTCAAAAAAGTCAAACTGGTTGATTGCTCTGGGACGAAGGTAGTAAGAATTACGGAGTGCTACCATAACAATAATAATAATAATAATAATAATAATAATAATAATAACAACTACCTCCACTCCAAAGTATTTTTCTAGTTTTGACTTTTCTCAGTCAATCGTTTTCAATATTTGACCTATAATTAAATATTATATATATATATATATATATATATGTATGTATGTATGTATGTATGTATGTATGTATGTATGTATGTATGTATGTATGTATATATATATATTATTTTAATTAGATAAAATAATATTTTAAAAATATTTTATATTATAAATCTAATAAAACTATTTTATATCAATTTCAAATATCATTTTTATTTAATTTGGGATCAAAGTTTACTAATTTTGATCAAAGAAAGTCAAAAGTGAATAAATACTCCGGGACAGAACGAGTAATATTTATTATTTTTAAAACACAAATGTATTTTTGTAAGGAAAAAAGAAAATTATAATTTTTTTCAATCAAATGAACATATTTTTATTATTGTTCCTCTCATGCTAATAATGATTTTAAAAATAATAATTGTAACAATGTCAGACAAAACACATTGCATATTAGTCGTTCATTTGATAATATAATTATCATATTTTTTATATCAAACTTCTACTCCATTTGTCCCAAATTGATTAGGTTTTATACTATTTAGATGGTCAAATTTTATTCATTTTTTAATTTTTTTCATTGCTCATTTCAAAAAATAATATAGTAATACCACCACTTATTTTATAGAGCTTTGAGGGCGGTTTTAAATATGTAAATTTTATTTTCTAATTTCATCCCAACTGTTCATGCTAATAATGATTTTCAAAATAATAGATGTAACACTATTAAACAAAACACTTTGCATATATTAGTTGTTTATTTGATAACATATTTATCATAAATTTTATATCAAACATGTATTCCATTTGTCCCAAATTTCATGGCTTGTATATTATTCACATAGTCAAATTTTATTCGTTTATATCTATTTTCGTTAGTCATTTGAGAAAAATTATATAATCATGTGACTATATGTTTTATAGAGTGTTTGATGTTGTTTTAAATATATAAGTTCTATTTTTTAATTTTATCTCAATTGTCTTATAAATTAAATAGAAACTAATTTTAGCAAAACATCGTAAATCAAAACGGATCATATAAAATGCAACGGAAAAAATAATATATTTTGATATTTTGTTTTTAAGAAACTATATTTAAATTGTCAAAAAAATATTATGAATGTGGGCCGAGCCAGCTCCAAGTCTAAAGGTGCCCTTGTGGAACTATCTCAAATATAGAAAATTCTGGTAACATATCCGCTAGGCCTAGCACAAAATTTGATTCGACCAGGGCCGGTCCTGAAATTTCTATGGCCTGGCACGAGACTGGAAAAAGAGCCTTTAATCCCGACCAATTAAGATATATTTCCATCTAAAAGAATACTCATACTTCTCTATTTTTAATGATGACAATAAGTTCTTTTGTGTACGTCTTCATATTTATTTTAGTTTTAAAAAATATTTTTGTTTATTTATTGAATAATTTTTTAAAGTTTATAAAACAATTATACTATATAATTGTGTTTTTTAATAAAAAATAGAAGTTTTATTGAAATCAATACCAAATATATAATCTTATGCGCAAACTTGAAATATATAATCTATGCCCAAACTTGAAACAACAAGGTTTGTTTTTAAAGGTGTTTAGGTTCAATCTCCATGTACAACATTTCATTTTTAAAATAGGAGAACAAGATTTACGCTATAGGATATTTAAAAAATTGCATATATATAATAATATATTAAAAATTTTGGGCCCCATAAATCTTGGGTCCGGTCTGGTCGGGCATGCAACATACTCGATCATGTGAATGAGTGTCCATTTGCCAACCTATTGAGTGATTTTTAGAGCAAGTTCAAACTTCAAAACTCATTTTTAAAGCAAGTTGAAATTGAAAAAAATTAAAAGTAAAAAAAGGGGGGGAGGGGAATGGGGTGACCGGCGCGGCCGATGCGTGTGATCTTGTGCCGGAAACTCAGCGCGGCTTTGAACTCAGCGCGGCTTTGCGCACCGTGACGGAAACCGCTTCCGTCCTACTACAATGATTGTGCGGCACGGCGTGAGAGTTCACCCTCCCCATTGTAAATGTCCTAAAAGATTACTCTTGAAATGAATAATTAGACACTTTTTTACTAATCAAATTTAGAAAGATAATATTTCATTTTTTTAAGAATAATATAAAAATGCACATAAATATTTCTATGTTTAAGAGTTTTTATTCAATTTGACTTTTAGAGTCAATTAATATCTATAAATAAATAAAAATTACAAGATATATGTTAATTTGATAAAAAAAATTAAAAATATGTTACATGTTAAATCTAATACAATTATTCATATATAAATTTTAAAATAGATTTTATTCAATTAATAATCACTCTTAAAAAGGATTGGAAAATTTAGAGGGAAATATAAGAGCATTGGCAGCGGTGAGGTCTTATCTTGCCACACACTACCACTCATGGAGAGGAAAGCAGCACAATGGGTGAAGTAAAAATTGGATTGCATGGCATGTGGCGTGTCACTCTGATTTCGATGGCGAGTAAGAGGTACGAAGCGGCAAAAAGACACTCTTCTTCCATTACTTTGATTTGCTTCCATCGTAAAAAACAAAGCACTATTCCACTACTTTACTTTGCTTCCTCTTTTTTAAATTTGTACCCTAGTTTTAATTTGTATTCTATTTCAAATTTCCAAATATTCAAATACGGAGTAGAAAATCAGAAGCAAAAGTCCTTCCCTTTGCATTTTGCAAAAATTATTTGTACTCTATTGTTAATTTCAAATAGAAAACTAAACTAATTTTGAATAACTAAATTATGCTCAGTATAATTTAGATTTTTAAAACAAAATAGGTAAAAATATTTATAATTTAAAAAAACAAAAGTTAAATCTATCGAGTAGAACATAAAGTAAAATCGGGTGATTAAAATATATAAAAAAAAATGTAAATAGAGGAAAAAATAATGACATGTCATTGCGGGATGTACCACTCTAATGTCATGCCACTGTGTGACTAGACTGACTTTGATTGGCTCAACAGTGCCATGTCAGTTTGTGACATTCCAGTATATGTCTTACCATTATTCATACTCTAAGGAAACATGAAAAGATGAAGTTGAAAAAACAAAAGGGTTAGTAGAAAAACTAGAACATTAAAGTGTTGAGAACTGAGAGAAATTAAAGAAATAAAAAATATTTTTAAAAAATTGAAATGATTTAAAAAAGGAAAAATTACCCAAAATAATCCCAACTTTACCCGGTCTTTCAAAAATAATCTCACCTTTCACTGTGATGCATAATAATCCCAACTGTACTGAAATTTGCCAATTTTGGGTCGTCGTTAAATTTCTAACGGAGGGTTAACGGAAATGCCCGTTTTAGGCAACAAAATGAAAGTATGGATTTTTTTTTGATGAATTTTTGTTTTCTAATTTTTTTTGAAATTTTTATTTAATTTTTTTGAATTACTTTCAACCTCCATTTCTTTTTCTTTTTTAAAGATTATTCTTACCTTTGAAAAAATAGATATAAAAAATAATGAAAATGAGAAAAATAACTAAAACCATACAAAATTAGTCAAATAAATAATGTAATCAATAGAAATTAAACAGAAACTGGTAAGAAATAAAATAAATATATACGGAGTGGTGGGTTTTAACATTTTACACACTATACGGAGTCTTAATGTACTAGTTATTTTTTAAAAGCACAAGCCGTCCGTTAAGTTGGAATTATTGTAGATAATTTTTTCTAAAAAATAAGAAGTGATATGTTAATATTTTGTATAATGCGTAAAATATTAAAACCCACTCGTATATTTTTATTTTACTTTTACCAATTTCAAGTTAGTTTCCATTGATTACCTTATTTATTTTATTATTTTTGTACCATTTTAGTTACATTTCTCATTTTTTTCATTTTTATATCTATTATTTTTATTTTTAAACTAAGACTAATCTTTAAAAAAGAAAAAAGAAATGATGATGGAGGTAGAAAGTAATTTAAAAAATTTAAATGAAAAATTTTAAAATATTAAAAAAATGAAAATTCATCAAAAATAATCCCAACTTTCATTTTGTTGCCTAAAACAGGCATTTCCGTTAACCTTCCGTTAGAAACTTAACGGCAACCCAAAACTGGCAAATTTCAGTAAAGTTGGGATTATTATGCATCACAGTGAAATGAGAGATTATTTTTAAAAGACCGGGTAAAGTTGAGATTATTTTGGGTAATTTTTCCTTTAAAAAATGTTTCTAGTTTTTGGAACATTAAAGAGTAACTCCGTTGTCCGTATCATCCCAAATACCATGACCAGAGTCAAACCGGTAAGTCGGAAATCAAAGACAAAAACCACGTGTAGGAGAACTATTCGCTTAGCCAACTTCACGAGGATCGCAATCCGACTCTGAGTGCCTACGCCATCCTGACTGTCAAAACTTCATCTCCCATCTCAACGGCTCACAATAGCCTTCAATTTGTCCAAATTTCAAAACCCCTCCAAAATCTCCCTCCACTCCCGCCCTCAATTTTCGCTATAAAAAACCGCAGAAATCGCACCAGTCTCTCACCCTAAAGCAACCATTACTTCCCTTCGTCTCTCTACTCTCAAATCGATCGGAAGCTGAAATGGCTCGCACCAAGCAGACCGCCCGGAAATCCACCGGAGGCAAGGCTCCGCGGAAGCAGCTGGCCACCAAGGCGGCGAGGAAGTCCGCGCCGGCGACCGGCGGAGTGAAGAAGCCGCACAGGTTCCGCCCCGGGACGGTGGCGCTGAGGGAGATCCGCAAGTACCAGAAGTCAACCGAGCTTCTGATACGGAAGCTTCCGTTCCAGAGGCTCGTCCGCGAGATCGCTCAGGACTTCAAGACGGATCTGAGGTTCCAGAGCAGCGCCGTCTCGGCGCTCCAGGAGGCGGCGGAGGCGTACCTCGTCGGACTCTTCGAGGACACCAACATCTGCGCAATTCACGCCAAGAGGGTCACCATCATGCCGAAGGACATGCAGCTCGCGAGGAGGATCCGCGGCGAGAGGGCTTAGTTTCTCTGTTAATTTTAGCTAGAGGTTAGATTCAGGATTGTATGGCCGTTCTTCTTCATCTATCTCTCTCTGTTTATCTGTTTCTCTTGGCTGCAACAGGCAATTAGAATACTTGGGAATGTCCAATCGATTTCACGAACTAGTAAATTCTAAGTGATATCATTACTATTGAAGAAATATTGCGATTTTAATCTTCTTAACAGTCAATAATTATTCTCGAGGAGAATACATTTAACTATTCGTATGAAACCAACGAAATAAACTGTGAAGAAGACAGTAGAAGAGTTGAAAGCGAAATGCACATTTTAAGAATTGTGACCAAATACCTAAATAACACCACTACTAGTTTTTTCTCTCATTAGTCATTAGCATTGATTTTCATCCCTACTACCTAGTCTACCCCTTTTGCAACCAACACCCACTTCAAACCATTCCTTTTAATTTTACTTATTTTTTGAAAATAAATCCATAATTATCCCTAATTTGCCGGAATAAACTAATTGCCTACTCATTCACTGTTATAAACATCATAGTTCTCTCGGTCATCATGCGCCTGCCCTCACCACATTCACTATGATTACCTGTGTAATTAATCATAATTATGTAATTCTTTTGGTAGCAATTCTCTATCCCGCCAGATTGATTATCCATTTCATTTCATGTTTTCTTCATTGCTCAATTTGTTATCCATGCCGGTGTATCTAGTGCCCATCGTGTTTCGTGCATTGTTGTGCCTAGACGGTGAATGGACAAGTGACATTCAACTCTAAAAGTTTACTTGAACTCATCATCTCGTTCTAGAATTCTTTTGGAATGCTTATTAACGCTGTGTGTTCACTACTTGGCCAGGTTCATGAGCATACTACTCTAAAGATTTCATATANAGTGCAAATCACCCCCCCCCCCCACTCGATTTTGATTGATAATGACACTAGCTTACATTCATACCTCTCTATGAAATCACAATATTTGGATCTGAATTCAATGCCTATGTGTATTGAGTTTTTTTCGAATGTCCAGACGGATGTAGGTATGTGCTCTTCTTTTCCTCATGACCAATCATTCTGTACGACTCCATCAAGTTTCAATTCATTGTCCGACGAGAGCATTGATGTTGGAAGCGTAGAACGTTCTGTGTCATCGTCACATCAGTCCACTAATGACCTAATAGATTCCCCTTTGATTAAATGTTCTTCAAGTTTCCTAAGGGATGACAGTGGCTACACAATGGACGTTGTAGCACGCGAACCAAATTTGGATAACGATGAGAGTTCTACCTTTGACTTGTCTGCAAATGTTATTTGCACCAATGTTGATTTCAAAGTAGTCACTCGCTTTGATCCAACAAAAATTGAGTTGGATGCGATTTACGAGAACAAGAGCAACTTAATATACCATCTCAAAATGTTGGCAAACTCTAACTTGTTCCAATTCCATACTAAGAGGTCGATAAAGAAGCTTCTCCCCGTTGTTTGTGTGGAAAATAAGTGTGATTCTTGGGCTGTTAGGGCAGTTCGATTATCACAAGCTGATATGTTCAAAATCCGTAGGTATGGCTTTTTCTTAAAACATTGTAGAGGTCTATATTTCAGACACAATGCTTATAATACATTCTTTTGATCTTTCTTCCGATTCGGATGCATTTACAAAAATGGATATGTTGTCTGTTCTTTTTTAATTTTCAACACTTATATCATTAAGTGTATGTTGCAATACACTCTGAAATGCACATCCCTCTATAACACACATTGTCCCAAAATTAACATTTAGAAAAAATGTATTTCGGGCAACAGCCAGAAAAATTTTGTTTGTGAATTTCGCACACATTGTCCATATTATAAATGTGCTTAAAAAACTTGAGGTTAATCACACTCATTGTCCATATTATAATCTCTATAACTTGTTAACCCACTAGTTCATACGTATGTTAATTGAGGTTACATTCCAAATTTTATTCAATCCCAGTAAGCCAACCACAGTCCACACCACGTTATCACACCCACTGTCTATACTGTTCAGGGGGTCTGTAAATACCATTGTCCTTCACTTTCTCAATTTTTATATTCCTACAAATGTTAATGCAATGTCTACTCACAATCCCTTTAACAAACACATCTCTTTCTTCTCACGTGTTTTTTAAAATTGGCTTCAATTACGTATATGATCAAAAGAATCATTTTCAATTGTTATGTTGACTTCTCTCAAGTGTGATAATGCACATCAATGTCCTATCGATGCTCGCCAGGGTAAAACACGTCAAGCTACGTATGATATCATTGCCGATTTTGTCAAATATAATTATAGTGATGCTACAAACAAATCATACTCGCCAAAGGCCATTATGATGGACATGTGTAGGGATCACGACATTTCCATGTCATACAAGAAAGCATGGTCAGCTAGGAAGAGAGCAATGCAACTTGCATTTGGTAGTGATGTAGAGTCGTACGCCATGCTACCAGCCATGTGTTACATTCTCGAACCGGAAAATCCAGGATCGTTGATACATCTCACAAGGTATTCTGAAGGTGTTTTCCAGAATATGTTTTTCTCACTCTCGGCTTAGAGGGTGGATTGGGCTCACTGCCTCGCGATTTTAGTTATCGATGGTACATTCCTGAAATCATATTATAAGGGGACACTCTTAACTGTTGTTACTCACGATGACAACAAACAAATATTTCCTATGGCATTTGGAATTTGTGATGCTGAGAATGACTCAAATTGGGAATGGTTTTTTTAAACTCAAGCAAGCTATCAGTACACGACCAATACAATACATTTTATCTTATCGTCATGGCGCGATCATCAAGGCTGCTAAGTCACATTTCCCTCGTGTTCCTCATGGTCATTGTGTTTATCACAATTTTGGGAATATTAAAACTCAATTCAATGAATCTGAGAAAGCACTGAGATGGAAATTTATTGTTGCTGCACGCGCACCCACAAAGTCTTACTGTGATCGCTACTTGAGTCTATTAGAGGATGAGGACCTGAGAATTAGACCATATTTATATTCCATTGGGATGGAGAACTGGGCGAGATCATCTTTTAATGTAAACCGTTATTTCATAATAACGTTGAACAATGCGGAGTCCATAAATAGTGTTAATGCAGTCCCCCATGAATACCCCATCGCTCAGCTTGTTGATTTCATTTCCAGAGAATGCAAAAATGGTTTCACAATCGTAGGGAACTTGCTCAATCCACATCTACTTGAGACACTTGAGACACTTGTTTGCAACCGAGATTGGCTCTTGGCAAGACGTCGAACTCAAGAGTCAGGGTACGACATTAATGTCGAACATTACATGAATGCAACCACAAATGGAAGCCCTAGTTCCGAGAAATAAATTATAAACTCCTTTTTATACTCCGTATCAATGTAAGTTGTTTTTTAGGTGAGCAATATATAAGCTTGTTCGAGAGTTTTTTTTAAGGTTCTTTACTTTGTCGTTTTTTTGAACCGTCAGGATATGAAATGTAATTGTTCGTGTATTACTCATTTTTCAATATTTAAATAACAACTTAATTTTTAGTTATTTTGTTTCATTATTTCCTTTAATATTTACACTTTTATAAATTTTTAAAAAATAGGTGGCGGAAACCAGCCGGTTTAGTATCGAAACCGCCGATACTAGTACCTGCGCCGATACCGGTAGCGGTTCCACGAGGTGGCGGTACCAAAACCGCCGGTTCCGGAACTAGAACCGAACTATTTCTACCCCTAATACAAAGTATTAAATTTATATCATAATAAAATCTATTTTTTAGATATATTGGAATCAAAATTTACAAACCATGACCGAGGAAAAAAAAACATTTCCGAACGAAGAGAATAAGTATACTTTTCTTACCACTTCTTTTACTAAACAAGAAAAATAATTTTCCATCCTATTTTCTTTTTTCTTTGACTGCAAATAATGGTGGCAAGATCACACTTAGTCCTCTTCGTGGGGCTATTTTATACAGATTACAGAGTAAATAGCACGTATAGTGATTGGTGCTAGAGAACACATGAATACAAGCCTTTCAATTCCCGAAGAGAATTTATCACTCTAATGAGCTCTATGTACAACATTGTTCAATGCAGGAAGGTATATTTCTTTACATTCCCACAAAAGCCTATCATAAACTTTTACTTTGAAAATTGTATAACACCCATTGAGGAATGAAGACAATACAATTAAATTCCATTATGTCCACTCTGCAAAAAAGCCCGAAGCTCATTGTACCAAATCTTTCTGAATTGTTCTTTTGATGTTTTTCTTATGGAATTTGGTGGTTTGGAGATGTATATGGACGGTTTGCAGCTTGTGCGTGATGTACAATGTTCATATTTCGGCGAGGGAGAAGACAACCACAGACTTTGCCATTTTAGCCACTTGGGACAAAATGGATTCTTTTTTATCTTGTATTCATTCAATTGTCAAAATATCAAATTAATAGCTGTAAATTATTATAAATATAGAATGCTCGCTTTTAGAATTGATTATGAAGAACAAGCCAAAGCATAAGTCTGACGGATTTGGATTAATGAAAACGAACCAGTAGAGTTGGATTTACATTACACCAACAGGATCAAGTGAAATAGACATCAAATTCAAAACCCTAGAGAGAGAGAAAGAGAAAGACGAAGAAGAAAAGCCATAGAATCCTGAATCTAACCTCCAGCTTAAAACAGAGAGAGATACTAAGCCCTCTCACCGCGAATCCTCCTCGCGAGCTGCATGTCCTTCGGCATGATGGTGACCCTCTTGGCGTGAATTGCGCAGATGTTGGTGTCCTCGAAGAGTCCGACGAGGTACGCCTCCGCCGCCTCCTGGAGCGCCGAGACGGCGCTGCTCTGGAACCTCAGATCCGTCTTGAAGTCCTGAGCGATCTCGCGGACGAGCCTCTGGAACGGAAGCTTCCGTATCAGAAGCTCGGTTGACTTCTGGTACTTGCGGATCTCCCTCAGCGCCACCGTCCCGGGGCGGAACCTGTGCGGCTTCTTCACTCCGCCGGTCGCCGGCGCGGACTTCCTCGCCGCCTTGGTGGCCAGCTGCTTCCGCGGAGCCTTGCCTCCGGTGGATTTCCGGGCGGTCTGCTTGGTGCGAGCCATTTCAGCTTCCGATCGATTGGAGAACAGAGAGACGAAGAGAAGTAATGGTTGCTTTAGGGTGAGAGACTGGTGCGATTCTGCGGTGTTTTATAGCGAAAATTGAGGGCGGGAGTGGAGGGAGATTTTGGAGGAGTTTTGAAATTTGGGCAAATTGAAGGCTATTGTGAGCCGTTGAGATGGGAGATGAAGTTTTGACGGTCAGGATGGGACCGGCAGGTATATAGACCCGGATAGCGATCCTCGTGATGGTGGGTAAGCGAATAGTCTGTGGACGCGTAGACTACTACGGAGTACTCCCTCTGTCCCATTTTAAATTGTCTATTTGCTTTTTTCTCCGTCCCAAAATAAATTGCATGTTAGTTGTTTTCGACTATTTTTCGTACTCTTTTAAAAATAAAATACCTAAACTACCTCTAAAATAAGTCACTCTTCCTCATCTTATCTTCTCATTCATCGTCTCCCCTACTAAAAAGTAATGGCAATTTCGAAAAATCAACTATATTTTTTCTTTTCATTAAATATGCCCAAAAGTCAAAACAAACGATTTAAAACAGGACGGAGGGAGTAGTATTTAACTCGTGCCACGCACAGGGTCGAACAAATGTTATTTTTCACTCTGTTAATTTTTTGTTTTAAGTAAATAATTATAAAATAAATGTATGAGATAAAAAATGCTAAAAAATGGGATGTTATAATTAATCCCTCCTCTCAATTTTTTTTAAGTTTGACTTGTTATGAAGATTAAAAAAGTTAAAATAGAAAAAATTGAGGTATAATAATACCTTCATTAAAAGTTTTTTTTCAAAATAGGAAACATTTCATTGTTCTTTTTTCGTTAGTATTTAATATGGCAACAGAAGTAAAAATTTTGTCACCGATGACGAGAGAAATGACTACAAATTTGGCGACAGATATAGCTAAGGAAATATTCTGTCGCTGGCCTCAGCGACAAAAAAAGCTATGAAATTATCAATTATGACAAATTGGCGATGAAATGGTATTTCGTCGCCATTTCCATCACTGAAATGGCAGGTTCGATAACAGTTCGATAACAATTCACGCATCTAAGATGCTCTGATGTCATCAAGCTCCTCCCTCAATTTTTTATTTCATCGTCACAAGGATCCCACATTGAGCTTGTGCTAGCACGTCTCGCCTAACTTCCATCCATTCGTCGGAGGATCCGTGCAAGATCTCCAACACCGTGAACACGATTCTTTGCATCATGTCAACCAACTCCAGTGATCTAGATCTCGTCTAGTGTGACATTCAAGCCATCCTCACAGACTGCGTTTTGCATAGCAATGTTGTCACGATGCAATACACAAAACATAATGTATGATCTTTTTCAATAATATATGAATCTATATTTACTATGCATATATACTCTCATTGTCACTTACCGAGACATTGTTTGTCTTCTCATTTATGTACGTCTTCCTATCATGTTTTACTCTCATTGTATGTCTTCCCATGGAAAGCTAAAATATGAATCTACATTCAAGCCCTCCTCATGGACCTTTTGTGTTTCTTTCTTCTCTTTTCTAATTGCAGAGAGTCCGTTAGTGTACCGTCTTCGCTCATTGGATAGCCAAGCACGATACATAGTCTTCTTAGAAATGCGAGGGCATAAACAAAAAAGCCAAGCACTGTATCTTTTTTCAAAATGTAAGAAAAAAAGCACGATATAAAAGAACTCTGACTTAAAAAAAAACTTATTTCAATATACTATCTATTTTTCAATTAAATTAGCATCAATAATTCTATATATTTCAATAAAAGAGCAATTTATAACAATATTAAGTTCAATTCAAGTAAATTAAACCAATTCTTTAAATTTTTGTTGTCCTCGCCATAATGTGGTCCTTGCCATCTTTGAACTTGTACCACTACAATTATTTGCCACCGGTCGTAATGCATTAAACTGTTGTAACAATTGAAAGTTGTTAGTAGCTTTACAAAATATTAGAATAAAGCATTACACAAACCTTACTGCAACGATGAGAACAACAACATTATTGTTAGCACTTGATGCTTGCCAATGTGTGGGGTTTGCAATCAAGTGCCAGCTATGTATATAATACCATTCTCGATACCCACAACCAACATTCTCATTAGACTCTCAAAGTATAGTCTGCACTCTGGTTTGTCCATATCCAAATTGTGTCATTAATATGTGGATGCCTAGTCTTGTGAAAACCTGCTTTGTATGGAAATGACAATTCTGATAGAAGTTGTAGTTTGTTAAATTGCCTCGCAAAACATCTCGGGATGTGTGGCTCTGCAATCAGTCCGAAAGTTATGTAACCCTCAAAACACCATAAATGCCAACCAAAAAGTCTACGTAAAAAATTTACACAACAAGAAGTCACATCAGTATACTACATTATTTTATCAAATTCTTATTTTGGTTCACATCTTTCTATTCTTTCAATGTGGGAGCTAGTTTGGCATCCTAAAAAACATCTTCTCAAACTAGGATCACACAAGTTTTGACCTCCCCTTCAGTGAAAATTTATTTTTATCTCCTAACCATCTTGCATTGCCGCTGCACTCTTGGCGGGATACGTCGCACAACTTTATCTTGTTGGAAAAACTTTTGCCACAAGGTATATCGTAGATCTCTTATTCGCTACATCATTTGATCAATCAAATCATCTTCTACCGTCGTTAACACCAACTTGCCACGCCGCGTGACCTTTGCTTGCCATAAAGACTTTTAATACAAAGCACCACCTACAAATTTTTTGTCATTTTTTCACACCGGGCACACCTAGATCTTCGTACAACATAGTCTGCCACTCCTACCAGCTTCAACCTAGGCTCTGATATTTTATCTTAGGACCGCACGTACCCTCCCTAAACCCCATACTAGTATCTCATTGTTCGATTTGAGTCAAGTCCTTACGAATTTATTTTTGGGTTCTCTTGAAAAGATATCATACTAATGGGTTGAGTTTAGCCAATACATATTGCTTCTCATCTTTCTCTTTAGGTGTGTGAGCTAGTTAGGCATCCTAAAAGCCATGTGAGATTGTGAGAGTTTAAAACTTTTCATGTATCTATAACCACAAACTTGAGTTTCTGGTTGGATTGATTTCTTCAAGCTTCATCGCGATCCAATTTTTTAAAAAATTTAATGGGAAAGAAACTACAATAACAGCAAAACACCGAAAATATACCAAAATAGAAATTTAATGTTTTATTTACAAAATAAAAGTCAAAATGTATTTACAATGTCAATCATGAGTCATGACCATATACATTACCAAAAAGTATTGTTACATGTTCATATATAGTGCCAAATTAACTCAGTGCAAATTCCTATTTTGGGAATTAAAACATAGAGCCCCTATTTAGAGTGAACATTTAAAATTAATTTTACATGCACAAAAAAACTGAATTTATAGAAAAGTAGTGCATTTATAGAAAACATAACTAAATTTATTAATTAAGTGTCTAAAAACAGTAGTGCAGCAGCAACCAGTACACAAACTAGTGGCAACATGTCTCATATATATATATATATATATATATATATATATATATATATATATATATATATATATATATGTAAATATATACAGACGTACATACACTGTAAATGGCTGTATTATCAATTATTAATGACTGTGTAATGTCTTCATGTTAACGAAACCAGAAGCCCAGAAGACAAATATGCAGGTGAGTAATTCTCTCCTGCTGCTGCTGCTGCTGCCTGGGAAAATTAAGAAGAAGATGATGAAGAAGCAATGTTTAAGGCTTGGCCTTGCGAGAAGCGTTGTAATTGAATCATCCGGGCGTAAATCCCATCAGGGGAGTGTTTCAAGAGGTGAGAGTGAGAGCCCTGCTCCGCCACTCTCCCGTCGTCGATCACCGCAATCACGTGCGCGTTCATGATCGTGGACAGCCGGTGCGCGACCACGATCGTCGTCTTCCCCGCGCACGTCCTCTCCAGTGCTTCCTGCACGCACTTCTCCGACTCCGCGTCGAGCGCGCTCGTCACCTCGTCCAGCAGCACCACCTCTCCTCTCCTCAAGAACGCCCGGGCGATGGCGATCCTCTGCTTCTGCCCTCCGGACAGCTGGGCCCCTCTTTCCCCGACGAACGTTTGGTATCCCTCGGTCAGTGCCGATATGAAGCTGTGAGCGTTTGCTGACGTCGCGGCCTCGATGACCTCGGATTCGGTGGCGGAATCGCACCCGTAGGCTATGTTTTCGTAGATGGTCGTGGCGAAGAGGCAGGGCTCTTGCGGGACCAGGGAAATGCGGCGCCGCAGGGACTTCAGGTTGTACTTCCTGATGTCTTTGCCGTCGACCAGGACGTTTCCGGACGTCGGGTCGTAGAACCTCTGTGCGAGCGCGATCACGGAGCTTTTCCCGCACCCGCTGGGGCCCACGAGGGCGAGGGTTTTGCCTGGCCGGGCGCGGAGGCTCAAGTCCTTGAAGATCAAGACATCGGGACGCGAAGGGTACGAGAAGTCGACGTGCTTGAACTCGACCTCGCCGCGGAGCTTGTCAGCGACGGGGATGGAGTTGGCGTCGTCGGGCTCGATTTCCGTTTTCCGGTCAAGGAGGTCGAAGACCGACCTCATTGCCTGGCCGCCCTTAATGAAGTCAGGGGCTAAGGTCAGTGTCTCGGCTGCCCCATTTGCAGAAATCATGAGGACTATGAAAACTCGGATCGTCTTGGAGAAGTCGGAGATTCGGTGCTTGACAAGCCACGAGGCGTACCAAAGACCAAGAGCGTAGGACGCATAGAGCAAGAATTGGGCTACCCCATAACCAATGCCGGCAATTTGCCCCTTCCAGAAGCAGCGCCTTAGCGGGGTCTCGAGATTGGCACTGAAAAGACTGACGATTTTCGCCTCCGAGTTAAACGCAGCAACCGTTCTCACATTCGCAACGGCTTCTCCAGCTAGCTGCGTGCCTTTGGCATGAGCTGCTTCCAAATCTCCAGAGAATCCTTTCATGAACATTTTCTGCATACAATCAAAATAGGATTACTTGACAGGAATGGTATGTAAAAGAATGTCGCGGGCGCTCGTGTGTGTTGAATGCACTATAAGGCTAGGTTATGCGATTTTTTCAAACACCAATTGGTTTTAGAAGAGTTGGGAGCGACTGAGGTCATACAAGTACAACCACAAAGGTTTTGGACTATACCTGCAAAACAGTTGCAGCAACCACTACCGGGAAAACAGCAACCAATACAAGGGATAAGCGCCACTGCAACACAAAGCCAGCAGTAAATGCAACTAGCATGAGAGCCGAGTTCTGCATGATCACCGAAATCCGGTCGCCAATGGCTGACCTGACATTGTTTGCGTCCAGAGAAAGTCTTGCGGCAACCATGGAACTCTCATGTTCTTCCTGATCAAACCACGCCAGTTCGTTTTTCAGTACTGCCCTCAGCATTTTCTCCCTTACCCTTTTGGTCAAGTTTTCTCCCACAATATTCCAGAAGAGATGTTGTATGGTATTGAAAATGAGAGCAGCCGAGGAGACGCCAATCAAGAGATAACAATACTTTGCTATCTCTCTGCTCATGTAATCATGGTCCGGGTTGTAGTAGACGCTAAGAACGGCACTCAAGACATAGGCAAATAGTGCACTGAGAGCACCGCAGATGACAGAGCCAATGGAACCAATGACAGCATAGCCCCACTCGGGAGAGTTCATTTTGACAAGCCGCCAGAAGGAATTCGCTTGGTCTTTAAAGGCAAGCTTGTCCTGTCGATACGAACCACCATCTAGAGAGAGGCTAATGTCCGAGGTGGAGAAGTCGGACAACTGGCGAGAATATGGCGATTTCCCGTACGAAGAGTTTCTTGTCATTATTGGAGAGCTGACAGAGTTTCTTGCGCTCGAAGGCCTGCAAGTAAGCAAATAACATCACATAGTCTCCCTCGATATTCATAAAACCTATTAGAATATAAAAAATCTTGATCACAACCACAAGCTTGAGCTTTTTGGTTGAGTTGGTTCCTTGACATGGTATCGAAGGCTTGATGACTAAGAGGTCACGGGTTCAAAACTCAGCGCCACCCAATTTTTTAAAAAATATTATATCACGTGCAAGGCTTGAAAAGACTACGCCTGCACGTGAGTGGGTGTGTTAGAATATAAAAAACCTTTTCTGGATCACAACCACAAGTTTGAGCATTTAGTTGAGTTGGTTCCTTGACAAAACCAAACATTAGTTTTCTTTTCCATTTCCATAGTAGTTTAAACGATCCAAACATACCCGAAATGAGTAGATGGAACATGTCAAAGAACCAACTCAACCAAATGCTCTAGCTTATGCTTGTAGGCCCAGGAAAAGTTTTATACTCTAACAAACCCGACCTTTAGGGGGGGTGGGGTTTGACAACAATAAAACATACTAACCTCGCACTACTCTTTCTGGCATTATTCATAATTGCTTCATGAGCGGCTTCTTGTATCTTGATGAGCTTTGCATAGACACCGTTTTCCCCCTTGCGAATGAGCTCGTCGTGGGTTCCTATTTCAGACACACTGCCTTGCTGTAAAACCACCACAAGGTCAGCTTTTCGGATGGTAGACAGCCGATGGGCAATGACAAGTGTTGTTCTTCCTATCATGAACCTGTCGAGAGCCTCTTGCACTAGCTTTTCTGACTCAGAATCTAATGCGCTCGTCGCCTCATCCAAAAGAAGGATCACCGGGGTCCTAAGCATTGCCCTTGCTATCGCTATTCTCTGCTTCTGCCCACCTGATAGCTGTACTCCTCTCTCTCCTACCTACCATTTTCATTTCATGACTTCACGTTATCTCGGATTTTAAAGTTATTTTAGTTTTCAGGGGGAGAAAAAAAAAAGAGCAAACGAACCCATCGCTTAGATGCCTATTGTAGAATCGTAGTCATAGTAATGCTCGAAAAAAGAAGTGAAAAAAAAGAACTTTACACATCAAATGATCCTCTCAAAGATACAAATTGTCAAGTCAAATTTTATTTACTCCAAATAATCCACTGAGAAACATATGGAACATATTCTTATTTTAAAGATCTGCATCTGAGTGCCACTTTCCCTTTTCACTCCACATAAACCACTGAAAAGCAAACTAAACATATTAATAAATTGGAGTATCGAATACTCCCTGTCCCAAAATAAAAGATAGAGTTGTTACTAATAGGGTCAAATTATATCTTCTTTCTTTTACATATTTTCATCGATAACTTTACCAAATACAATAATCATATTGCCTCTTATTTTGTACTCTGGAACTTTTGATGTGATTTTTAAAAATACAAATTTTATTTTTATTTCTACACCAATTTTAAAATAAATCGAACACTGGAACATCGGCCCCGAGTCGATTAAATAATAGTAATAGAGTAGAAGTTCATCTTGTGCAATTGATTAATGACTAAACAAAGCACTTAGCCAATTAAGGGAACTAATAAAGTCTCTCTAAATGATACATGGCATAATAATGTGCATAATCAGAAAGGGATTTGGTAGATATTCAAAATGTTCTGAAAATCAGTTGAGTGGCATGTCATATAGATTATAGTAATAGTAATGGCTCCTTTAATACCGCCTGATTTCCAGCCAGGACCACATGTATTTGGTTAGAGAAGAAGTCTTTATCGATAAACTTCTATATGTGCTATTTTAAGAAAATGCCCAACTGGGGACACCAATATTTGGTACCACCGTTAATTCCATAATAATCAATTGTTGGAGAAACTATTCATCAAAGCTTCTATGGTAAAAAAACAAATTTATCATCAAACCTCGCCGAATTTTGCTAACCTGAGTATCAAAGCCATCAGGAAGCTTGGTTATGAAGGAATGGGCATTCGCGACCCGGGCAGCTGCTTCAATCTCAGCATCACTAGCACCAGGCTTGCCCATCAAAATGTTTTCTTTTATGGTGGTGGCGAACAGTGCCGGTTCTTGGCTCACTAGCCCGATTTGCTGTCTCAACCATCTCAGTTTTAACGTCTTTATGTCTTGCCCATCCAATTGGACTTCTCCTGCAGACCAACACTATGAATTAAAAACACAGATTCTTGTGGCAAGACATGTCTTTGATGTTTGTTTATTGTACTATGTTATGTCCAACCTGAAGTTGGGTCATAGAATCTTTCGACAAGAGAGACCACCGTGCTTTTCCCAGAGCCACTGCTTCCAACCAAAGCTATGGTCTTCCAAGCAGGAATCGTGAGGGAGAAATTTTTAAGAATTTGAATGTCGGGCCGTGAAGGGTAGGAGAAGTCTACATTCTTCAGCTCCAATTGCCCATTGACAGACTCCAATTCCAAACCCGTTTCCTTGTTTTTCCCAACACTTGGCTTGTGATCTATTGTGCTGAAAATCTTTTCGGCCGCGACTCTAGCCTTTGCAAATGCTGACAGACTAGGCAGTGATTGACCTAACCCTCTGAAAATCAAAGGGAGGAGTTCATTTTTCTTTATGGGGAGGATTTTCGAAAAGCACACAATTGGAGTAGAGTGGTTTGTTTATAACACTTACATTCCACCAATCATGACAGCAAAAGTTGTGGATATGGCAAGTCCTCCGTTGGTTATATGGTGCCTAACCAAATACCCTCCGTACCACAGTAGAAGAGCGAAACAACAGAAAACCGCAAAGTATGTGGCTCCGGGTAAGAGACCTTTGCAAAACCCAATCTTGTAACCAATCTTCTGAGCCTTTGCCAATGCTGCAGAGTAGGATTGCAATGCCCTTGACTCTCCCACGAATGCCAGAACGGTTCGGATTTGACCCACGGTCTGCAATTTCCACTCGTATATTCAGGGCAAACTGCAAAGTGCTCAAGTTATGGAGAATGTTATGATTGAAAGATGATGCCAGAATACCTGTTCCACAATGTTCCCGGCTTCTGACATGGCTCCTTCGCTCTTCACAGAGAGTCTTCGAATTTTCTCAGTAAGAACTGCCCCAATTACAACTATGAGAGGAACTACAGCAAGTGTGACCAAAGCCAATTGCCACACTGCCGTGAACCCAACCGCAAAACCAGACACGAATGTTGCCATATACTGAATGAAATTCCCCAACTGCATATGATAAAAAGCACACACAGGCATGGTAATCAAAACCTAAATAACAAAAAAAAACGTTTTTTCTTTGAACTTCAAGAAATGAAAGTACAAATTGTTTTTTGTTTAAGTTCACCTTCTCGCTAATGGCATCTTGGACTGTCACGGCATCCGTGTTGATGGCATAAACAACATCGGAAGTCCTAACCTCGGTATCAAAGTATTGAATGTCTTGGTACAGAGCAGCCTCCAAGTACTCTATCCTCATTTTGGTTGACTGTCTCTCTCCTGTCCACATCCAACATGAAATCTCTGAAACCGAAAACTAAAAAAATTGTGAGTCCAATCAGGCAGATACAAAGTATATCATTCAATCAAAGAAATGAACTTTTACCTGCCCAAGAAGATGCCCATGTTGCAGCCCCAACTACAAGAAAGTAGAAAGCATACTGCAAAATACCCAAAGAATCATCAGAGAATATAACAATGAAAAAGGGTAGGAAATAGAAATCCAAATTGGCAACACAGTTTGGGAATCTGGGTTCACCTTCAAAACTTCTTGGGTCATTTTGTCAACATCATTGGCATAAGAGCCAAAGGAATTGACAAGATCAGCAAAGAATCTAAGGAACAAAGGCAATGACAGCCCATGAACAAAAGCACCCAGACTTCCAACTCCCATCAGAACATAGTCCAAACCGTCTGCAAATCTGAAGAGCTGAAAGAAAGAAACAGTGGGTGGAGGCGGAGTTGGCTTCTTCTCTCCATTTTCTTCAGAGCTCTCCATTGCTACTCACTCTGGGGCGTTGAAGGGAAAGTGGGGTAGGATTTAAAAAGAGGAAATATAATCCCTCTGCTGGACTAGTGACCTTCGCACTAAAAACACACTTTAAAAGAATCTGTAGCTTTTGTATGTCAAACCATTCACTGCCACATTTAGTCTTCGTTTCCTTGCTGTCATTTCAGATTGATTTCCAAGTTTTGCAAGCCCAAAGCACTTGTTTTGCACGAGCTGTCGCTTAACTTTTTTACTTCTCTCTCTAGCTTTGTCTCTTACTTTATTTTAGAGTAATGATTTGGCATGGTTTGGTAAGTAATCGTTGAAGACTTGAAGGTAATTAGAATCAAGTCAACAGCTTTCTTTTTCTTTTGGTTCCTTACACTTCTTTTACTCCGTATTTTTCTTCACTTCCTTTTTATTTTTCAATATTTTTTTTTGATTTTTATAATATTTAAAAAAAATCAATTGCTTCTTTTGTCTCAATTTAAATCATCTACTTTTATTTACGATATCTGACTTGATTTATTTTCATAATAATTAATTTAAAAATCAAAGTGGAATTTAAAACACCACATATTAAAAACGTTTCTAGTAAATCTAAAGTTTAGAAAACAAGAACTAATATTACTATATTATTTTATTACACGATTATGGGATTTGATGCCCAAGTTATATTACTCCCTCCATCCCACAAAAAAGTTCTCATTTTGACCATAAATTGGTCAAACTATTGCACACTTTGATTCTAAATTAAATATAATCTAAATAAAGAAATGCTAAAAAAATTTGAGATATCAAAACTAAATCCTAAAATAAATCCAATTATATAAAATTTATTTCATAATTTAATATACCTTTCTCACAATTTGTAGTCAAAGCGTGTAAATATTTGACTAAAAACTATTCAAAATAGGAATTTTTTTGTAGGACGGAAGGAATATTTGATTTGACTAGATGATTACTTTGCTAGTTGAGGTATGATAAGCCTAAGATTTGAAATACTATCTTTGTTCCAGTGTATTTGTTTGTTTTAATTTTTTCAAGTAAAAAAATGAACATCGAACCTAAATTAAATAAAAATCCTTATATATTAGTATAAAAACAAATTTATTAGATTTAACTTGTTGAAAATTTTCAAACTTTTACTCCCTCTGTCCACCATAGATTTTTTCGGAAACTATTCACAGGGTCAAACTTAATTGACTTTGTTTGCTTATTTTTAGAGTAAATTCTATAATTGGTCCTTTATAACAGGGGGGTTTCCCTATTTAGTCCTCTATTATCAAATATTACTCAAGTGGTCCTTCTTTTATGGGTACCTTTCCACAAATAGTCCTTTTTTTATCTTCTATCATGTTTGTGTTAATTCGAAGGCTAAAAGTGTAATTTCACAATGATAATATATCTTTTTTGTTATACACAATTCCAAAGGCTGTTTCGTTTGCGTCGTTTGTAAATTACAGTCGCTTTTTACGACAATTATAGTTTACAAATGTGATCTTTCGTCAAAATCTTAGCCCACAATCATAGTCATTATTTTTGTGTTATCCGCTTAACCAATATCAGAACACGTCACTAGACATAATGTTGACGTCAAATTATACTTTTAGCCTTTAAATTAACACCAACACGGTAGAAGATCAAAAAAGAGACCATTTGTGGAAAGGTACCCTTAAAAAAAGGACTACGGAGGTAATATTTGATAATAGAGGACTAAATATGGAAACCCCCCTGTTATAAAGGACAAATTATGGAATTTACTCTTATTTTTACTACTCATACTATAAAATAATATAGTCTTGTCACCTCCATTTTTGTAAAACTTTTTATGTAGTTTATCACTATATAAATTTTACATTAAAATTTTATCTCTATATTCAAATAAATTGAATTCAAAATAAAGTCGGTCAAACCTCGTAACGCGCAATGGAAAGATTTTAGGTGGACGGAGGGAGTATTTTATTGTACAATACAAAGGGAGTTATTGATTATTAAAGTCCATTTAGTTTAACTTGAAAAGTTCAAACATGACGAATACGCTGGGAAGGAAAAACATGAGTTTTCTCACTTCTTTTAATTATTAAAATACAATTTTTGGGCAGAAAATCTTTACAGAGTACCTTTGATTCTCTAGTATAAACTCGCAAGCCTCACATTTCTTGAAATATACTCCGAAGTACCTTTAATTTCCTAATAAGAGCTCACATATCCTACATTATCTAAAATACACTCTTGGGTTCCTTAAAATTTGTGCAATATACTTTGAGGTACATTTTATCCATTGGGCATTTATTTGTGCTGTAATGATTGAAAGTTCTCTTACTTTGACAACTCAATCACCAAAAAATAGTCCGAAGTAACTCATGCTTTCTACTAAGAGCTCACATGTCTCAATGGACAAAATGTACCCTTAAGAGCATCTCCAATGCATTGGGTATATGGTAAAATATTCACTTTTTACACTTTATTTTTCATTTTATCTCACTGCAATGGATAGTGTAAATGTGATGATAAAATGCACTATAGTGCAAAAAGCAACCCACACCTTCTATTTCTACAAGTTACTGTAGATAGGGAAAATAGTTTTTAAAATTATTCTGTGGCCCTTTTTTATCTCTCGTCACTCTCTCCCCCTCCTCTCTTTATCATTTCTGCTGTCTTCTTCAATCCAAAATCACCGGTGCTGCTATGCTCATTCCCTTTCTCAGGTAAAATGCTGGAATTTATATTAATTGTGTTGATGACTAGTTATTTTATCCTTTTATGTGGATAGATATCTTATCCAATGTTGAGAGAAAATCTTTCTAAA